GTTAAAAACGACAAGTCCAATTGCTTTGATATTATTACATATATAGGTACTACATGTGGACCTCTCTCAGATTTGTTCATTTTGTAATGATATCTTTAATTATCTAATTTTGGTGAATATTTTTGTCATTTTTGGTAAAAAGTGATATTTTCTTCTTGTTAAAAACCACAATCATTTATGGTGAAAAATGATATTTTTGAATTCTTGTTGAAAACAGCACGTCCCATTGCATTGATACTATGCATATTGTTCATTTTCTAATGATATCTTCTGTTCTTTATTTGAAATGTGCATTGCTAACAGCGGAGCTATCTCAGCCGAGAGGCTGCTTGTTTGATTGATGCTTTGCTTATGAATGAATTTTATTTCACCAAAAACAAAAGTGGAGTGAAATTTCACAATAACTGACTAAATAAGTAAATAATGCGAACAAAGTGGAGACGAGGATCACGTAAAAGGTTCTCTTGAACTAGTCTAGTCCAATTTTGTATCAACATTAAACTGCAGTAAATCTATAGCAATGAATTCACCCTACCCTCTAATGTGATTGTATATACAATAAAAATAGAGGGGGTGCATGTTAGAGTTAGGGGTGAGAGGGTGAGAGCAACTATAAACCAGGGTTTCCAGACTGGTTCAATGTGTGTTGGCAGATTTGGGGGGGGGGGGGTTCAGTGAGGCATGTGCTCGAGCCAGTTATAACTGCTGAGATCCTACATGATTGTGATTGTCTCCATTAGATAGGATTCATGTCTTCAGTTTATACTCAAACAGGATTCAAGTCTTGTTTTAATAATGAATTTTGAAATTGGCTCAGTTACGCCTTTCCAGAAATACACACTAAATAGTTTGATGTGTATGAATAAGAATACTAAATTCATGCCAAGCTGAACAAAAGAATTTCATGCATTTTTGGTTGAAATCCAAAAAAACATTCTAAAATTTTGCTAAAAAAGGTAAAAATATATGCAAATTGGCAATTTAATATGAATGTGGTCACAAAACTAATTGCTTCTGCACATCGCTCCAAGCTACTGATGTAACAGATTAGTTCAAATTCAACATTTTTTTACCCTCAATAAATTTGTGATGTAGAAGTACTTGATGATACGTTGAACATCATGGTAAATTTTTGTTACAGCTAGTTTTATTTAGTTTCATTCATTCATTCATTCATTCATTCATTCATTCATTCATTCATTCATTCATTCATTCATTCATTCATTCATTTATTCATTCATTCATTCATTTATTCATTCGTTCGTTCGTTCGTTCGTTCATTCGTTCATTCGTTCATTCATTCAATATGGAAGTGGACATAAAACCCATTTACACCCTTCAGCTACATCAATGCATGAAAAAACGGCACAAATTAATTAAAATACAAAAAAATATGAGCATATTGTGTTTTACGAGAACAAAACAGCGTTATACATATATGAAAGGTAGAATGACTAGTAAAATGTCAATATCTTGATTCAACCTCGCAACTGAAGAGACACTTAGAATTGTGGTGCAGAATCAATTCCATCTGAGACTGTGTCTGCAACAGAATATCGTATTCATAGCGTCAGATGGTGTATAAGTTGTTACATTCAGACACCAGCATAAAAAAATCAGCTTGCAAATATCACTAAACGTTTTTCAATGTTTTCAATATTAATTATGTTACAAACTACTTAAGGTATAACATGTGGCATGTCATTGAAAGAAAACTTTCAATTTGACAGGCAATGGAGTAAGCTAAATCGAAATATGCCAAGGTATGATCGTGTCTCGTAAAGTGGTTTTAAGTCAATTTAGGTTACAATGTAGTAATAATATTAAAATGTTGATGCATTACTTTCATGAGCGCCCCCCCTATTTTTAACAACCAACAGTGCTTCGTGCCATCAGCGCTCGCGAACTTGGCCTTCGGCCAACTTATCGCCCCCCCTATCCAGAATCCTAGATCCGCCCCTGACTTTGAAACAAGTGCATAGGATTTATAATAGAGACCCAGTTACGTGTGTTACTCAAATATTGTCCACGAGAATAAGCCAACACACCCAATGATGCGCATAACCTGTGTTATACTAGTATTTAAATTGTGACCCTGTAACAATAACGATTGGACCCGAGGGATGAATTTGTTTGAAATACCCAAGCCCGCACTTCTGAAACTTTAGAAACTGGGAATCACTAGATGCAATAATCGAATACAATAACGACAAAATGAAATAAAAACAATTAGTTATATACTTTCATATTTAACGGAAATACTCATAGCAATTGAATATGAGTTATCAACTTACTTCAAGTTACTTAAATGGCTGGCCATTAACACCCACATACATTTGCAACGAGGGGCTGCTTGACTGGTATAGATAGAACGTATGAGTGTTCTGCAAAATGGAAAACAATCTCTTTCCACTCTTTTTTAAAATAAATCAAAACATACTTATTGTAGAAAAACAAGGACTTCATTTCTGAGTGAGATCAACTTTAGTGCCAGGAAGATACACTGTTTCTCCGCTCTGTTCGAATGCCTCTGAGCATTTGGCGGATACAACAAATATTTTATTTCGTATCTGATCACAAATGATTGTCCAAGTATTATCACAAAAACACACAATTAAACGCAATCTAAAATACATGTAACTAATTTGGGAGCCATAGTAAATGAACTTATCTTTTCCATTGAACTATTACACTCCATTTTTTCAAGGTACATACATAAATGAAGCACCAACAAGCTCATTTGTACATTTGAAAATGAAATTCATTCAGTTTTTACGGCCTAATTCAACAGGTTATTTATTTGGTGAAATATAATACTGATGTGTTTGGTTCCAAAACAACAAAATCTGCCATTTTTATGCGTTTTGTGCGAAGTCAGTCTTTTAAACAGTACTTTTTTTTTGGTTTTCGAGGAACTACGAACTTCGAAGTAAACCCCTTCTTCCGCAAAATACAGAATTTAACGCACATGTGTATCCCTCGACCTGCCAATCATAGAAGTGATCATACCATTATATCGCAATTTTGCTCTTTTCGTGGCAAATACTTGTATTATCTCTCATGTTTCTAACTTATTATTATTTGCTGTTTTTAAAACTGGAAACGGCGATACCCCGAATCCCATTTACCCTATTATAATAGCGCCACCAAGCGGTAATCTTTAACAAATAAAAACAATATGGCTGCGCGCATGAAAACAGCATTGCGATTTATTGGTAAGCGGTATTTCATTGAAACGGTATTTGTATTTGTAACTATATCGGCCAACTCCTTAATTTTCTTATTCTGATCTTATTTCTAGATATTGGCGCCAATCTAACAGGTATGTGTTCACGATATAAAATTAAAGTCTTACTACAAGTTCATTTGAAATTGATCGACGTAACCTCACTCACGACCTGATCTCGGTCGCCGGCGGATCCGGGGTTTGATCACGACAGGTCAATGGTATCTACACAAATTTCCAACATGATGTGGGAATTGTTGTCAAAACAAATATTCACTATTTGCTATACTATAGTTTCTATACAGGTAGCACGTATTGTAACCGTGGATCAGTGAAATTTTATTAGAGACGAGTAGTAATTTTAGTGGAGGGGGGGGGGGGGTGATGCATTTGTTGATTATCATGACATGCGTACTATCACGGATTATTCCCGGCTTCGGGGCATGCACGTTTCATTCAACGAACCTAAATGTTATTATTCATATTCTCAGCAATATTCATTTCATAAAATAACATTCAGAAAAACTCAAATATCCTTATGGCTCAGGCTGCATTGGTGTTTCTGTACATGTGTTTGATTGAGTTATATAGTTTGCCATTAACTACTGCTTTTAACATTTTATAAAACAAACCTCCTCTCCAAACACTGTCAAAAGCTTTTCTAACATGTAAATAAATTTAAATTTATTAACAAATTAATTTATAATTCTGCATATTAATTAAATAATAATAATACGCCAATAACTTCTGGGATTTGGGAGTATGTGCATTATGTGTAACTAAACGTATGTTTTCTTATTAGATCCTGTATTCCGTGGTGTCTATCGTGGCTCACAAAAACATCAAGGTACAGTGTTCCCTCTAAGCCTTATTTTCGCTCAATTTTCTCAGATTCAATTGTAGTTTCTCAGTGAAATTTTGTCTTTTGAGAAACTTTCCATGCATTTTGTATGCAGAAAAAACATTTCAAGGGGAAAATGGGCAAATTTTCACAGTATTTTCAAGATTCAAAAAAAATAAAGGGAACAGTGTCAAGGTATATTAATCATGTACTGTCTATTTTATTTAATATAGGAACTTCTTGTAAATTTTTCAAAAAAAGAACAGAACTAGAAATATTTTGTAACACACTTCTAGGCACACACTTCCTACTCAATGCATTGATTCTAGGTACAGACCTCACTCATTATATTGATTCTAGGCACACACTCCTTACTAAATGCAGTCATTCTAGACACACACTTGTTACTCAACACAATGATTCTAGGCACACACTTCCTACTCAATGCATTGATTCTAGGTACACACTTGTTACTCAACCCATTGATTCTAGGCACACACTTCCTACTCAATGCATTGATTCTAGGTACACACTTGTTACTCAACTCATTGATTCTAGGCACAAACTCATCACTCATTCCATTGATTCTAGGCACACACTCCTTACTAAATGCATTCATTCTAGGCACACACTCCTTACTAAATGCATTCATTCTAGACACACACTTGTTACTCGACACAGTGATTCTAGGCACAAACTCATCACTCATTCCATTGATTCTAGGCACACACTCCTTACTAAATGCATTCATTCTAGGCACACACTCCTTACTAAATACATTCATTCTAGACACACACTTGTTACTCAACACAATGATTCTAGGCACAAACTCGTCACTCAATGCATTGATTCTAGGCACAAACTCGTCACTCAATGCATTGATTCTAGGCACACACTCCTCACTCAATGCATCAATTCTAGGCACAAACTCGTCACTCAATGCATTAATTCTAGGCTGTTGTTTTGTTTTGATAGATGATTTTACTGATGTCCTACAAAGAGCTGTTGATGTTGGAATTCAAAAGGTATTGTTTACGCTTTGCAGTATACATGTATTTAAATAGTCAGATTATTGCTGACATTAAGAGTATACAGTATTTATCTAGAGACATCGCTCTCTGCAAAACATCACCCATAGACTATATTTCAGCACCTGGGTGATATTTTGGTGCTGCAAAAACAGATAAATATCTACAAAACTAATTGATTTTAAAATAAAAAGTATATGTTTTTCCAAGAACGCCAATTAGTAGGATACAAATCAGCATTGGCACACACCTTGTAGAAAGCATGGGAATCTGCCAAAAAATAATACTGTGACATCCAAGTTATATCCAAGATGTACATTACCGATTCTCTTGTTTTCCCCCCAAAAAATATTTAATGCAGGTTCATTGTTTGAATGGTTTAGATACAATCAAAAATTCAAAATTATGCAACTGAGATCTTTGTTGATCTTGTACTGACATAGGGTTAAGCAGCTGTCCAATCAAAGATATAAATTTACACATCGGGTCACTCATAGCACCCGTATGTCCATATATGGTAGTAATGAACTTTCAACCATTCAACAACATGGTGCCAAAGTCACCCAAGCTGTCAGAGTGTATGTTTTCCGTGTTGACTGAGAAAATGTCTTCAAGTGTGCAAATTTATTACTTAAGATCAGTCTTAGAAGACAACCTTTTGTACAAGTGGAGCCTCAAAAATGGGGACTCACAATGTTTTATAATTTATATTAATATTTATTTGAATTTAAGTCAAGTTTGCAAAGCTTAGGTTTAGTAAAGGGGGAAGGTATGGTTCAATTTATATTAATATTAATATAATTGTACCATACCTTCCCCTGTTACTGAACCTAAGCTTCACAAACATTTCTATGTTTAGTCACGGGATATTCAACTTTTATTTAATTAAATTTAATTAAAACACAATTCTACATTGTATTACATTGTAATTGAGTTTAATTATACTCCAATTAAAATGCAACCCTATATAGGAATGCGTTTTAATCAAGTTCATATTGCAACTACCTTATATTAAAAGTTAATCCAATGTATGGCTTTACAACTACGGTAAGACCTGTATATATGCTCGCGCGTGTGTGGGTGTGTGTCTGTATCTGATATTATGATCACGGAGCTGTCATGCTGAACAAAAAATATGAATAAAGTGAGGTTGACTTCTAAATGGCTTCAAAACACTACAGTCATTGTACAGTGTGTCTTTGAATTTGTGTAGAGAAACAAATGAATGAATTTGACACTCGTGGTGATATGTTGCAATCTTGGTAGAGATCACCAGAGATGTAAGTTGACACTTACATCAAGGAATGCACTTTTTAACTCAGCAGACCTACAGTGCATTTCCCGGTGTCTGAAGTCTGGTTAGACATCTGGATGTCTGGATGTGGGCGACTTCTTCTCAAAAACCGCTGAACCGTTTGATTTGATTTTTGTAGTGTAGCTGCCTTGATGGGTGTAGATGGAAATTTGTTCTGCCAAAAATAATGTAAATTACCTACAAAAAACTGTGACACAATTTGGTCTACAGTGCTAATACTGATAGTACTCATGCTTTGAGTTTACCTCCATCACTTTTGTTAATTTGTTGACAAAATTTCCTGTTTTTGGTGAATAGTTTTGTTATTTTTGGTAAAAAATGCTCATTTTGACTCTTGAAAACTAATAGCTTAATTGCTTCAATACTTGGGTGGACCTGTGTCAGATTTGTTAATTTCTTGACGAAAACTTCAATTCTCTAATTTGGTGAATATTTTTGGTAAAAAACGTTGAGCGACAGGCCAATTGGTCTATTTTATTGTTTAAAAAATCACTTGACAATAACGATTCCCTTGCTATGTTTGCATAAAAAAACTAGAGTGGGAATTAAAAGGATACAAATTTAATTCTTTTTGTGAATACTGTGAATCAAATATACCAAAAGTAGATTGATTTTATGAGATAGCGATGCCAGTTGTGGACATGAAAACTATAATTATGTACACAATATTGAAAAGTGCCAGTGATGTTTTGCTTCTGGTGATCTCACAAAATATAACCTATTTTCTAAAACATGACCCAGGGTAACCTTTCAGATCAATACGGTAATACTAAGAGGTTTCTATAAGAATACCGCAAAGTATATATGAAGTAAAATATTGCACTAAAATGTTAGCAGGAAAAAAAGACTGCGTTCAAAAAGCAATACAATTCACACTTCTCGCTGGCTACATTGATCATGAACTCAATGATGCAAACATTTCCTTTGACTGGAGCACTGATGCCTTATCACTTACAAATATCAAGATCATCCATGCTGAATGTAAAGTGATCTACAGACATTTGGTCTGACTCAATATGAAAATGTTTTTTTTATTTCAGATCTTTGTGACTGGTGGTAGTTTAGAAGATAGCAAAGAAGCTTTAGAACTTGCAAAAACAAATGGTAAGTTTGCCACATTTGTAATATTTTATAGGTTTCAACTAAGTAATCAGTTCATTTAAATCATTATATAGGGCAATGTCCAAATAAGGACAGAGGTGAGATATTATGAGATTATTACCGGATATCATTCCGTATAAAGCTGGTTGGTGAGTAAAATCATGGGATAGTGCTATCTACAACATTACACGATGTTAGAAGTATCAACAACTAGTTCTATAAACAAGTAACCTGTAGAATGCTGTGTGGGTAATATTTTTATATTGATTTTTGCTGCATTTGCAGCAAATAGTTACCAAACAATGAGAAATCTATTGGATTGAATATACCTCTCAGGTGGCTTCACATGCATAGTTCAAGCCTGCCTAACCGGTGCTTATACCAGGATTTAGTTACAGCTTCATGTTCCCAGTAATCCCAGTAATTCATGAAAGACTGGCACTCCCATGCAATTAACAGCGAGTTAAATTCTTGGGATTGAAACATATATTTTGAAGTCACTGATGTAGGCAATGAATAACTTAAAGTTGACATAAAGACGAGGTAGTGCTCAACTAGAGGCTGAAATTATAATTAATTTGTTTATTTCAATTTCTCCTGAAGTCAAATAGAATACACTGGTGAAACACGGTAGTACCCATGGGCGAAAGGATGTTTTGGGGTGTAGTTTACATTGTGTATGGAGTGGTAGGATCGGGTGTAATTTGTTCATTTCCAACTCTTATGAAGTCACGTAGAATTTCACTTAATTTATTTTTGCTGACATGTTTTCAAGCATTACATGTGAATCCAATTTTCACTGTGCTGTGTCTCAATAGAGTGTGAGGGAAATGGCATTTTCACTGGAATTTATTTCAAGGGGAAAATGTTTTCAGTGATAATGA